TTTCCTTTCCTTTCCTTTCCTTTCCTTTCCTTTCCTTTCCTTTCCTTTCCTTTCCTTTTCCTTTTCCTTTCCTCCAATAAAGCAATAGTAACTTTGTTCTGGGTAAATTATTGTCAGGAAAAAAAAAAGAATAAGAAGCCACATTTCAAGTCTCCAACCAGTTCAGCAGTTTCACAAAACAAACTCTCCGACATGTGTCATTGCCTGTATTTGTCCCCCGTGAAGCCTACGCCCCCTGCAGTGACATTCATCAGACATCTGCCTGAACACACTTGAGAAATTGTGCTAAGGATCTGTCTGCCATCCCTCTTGGCAGCCGCATCTTCTCTGGTACCCTCTGACACTGAGGCTGACCTCAGGCCTCTCCATGGGATTGCTGTTCTGGCTAAGGGGAAGGCAGTGAGTCCAATGTCTACAGTGGGTTTTAACAACTTTCCTCCCTCTTCTCATCAGACCCTGCCATGCTGTGCTCACAGGTGGGGAGTAAGAGACGTTAGCAAGGTCACTGGAAACCAGGTGCACCTAACTCACGGCCAGCTGACTTCTGTACAGCCCACCTCAGTGGAATGTCCATCCTGAGATGCCCGAGAACTGCAGGGAACCACTCAGATGAGGCAGTCAGTCATGCAGCATTGCCAACCTGAATTACCAAGAGGTGCCGTCTACTATGCATGGATATAAACTTCTTTTTCTGTTTAACCACGTGTCCAAATAAGGTCTCTCTTTCCCAGGGAGCACCCCCAGTGTCATTTTCTGAATAAGAAGGTTAAACTCTAAGCCAATTCACTTATTGGTCTGTATCTTCATGTAATGCTTTTATAATCAATCATGAAACAACTTAAATGATAACATCAAAATCTCTCTTAATTAAGTCCTCAGACCTCCAGAGTCAAAGTGCCTTACCCCAAGGATGTCCTCTACCAACAGAGTCTTCCTAGACTTGGCCACATAGGCAGAGATGGTGGTGCCCTGGGTGATGGGCCCTGCGGGGATGAGCCGGGGTTGACCTTCCTTCATTCCGGGTGGTGTGAACACACACAGACTCTAGGAAGAAGAAAAGAAAACTTTTTTTTTTCAGATGGTCTCCTCTGTCTTGTGCAATATCAGCAAGACTCTAGATCATGACCTAACTAGGTCCTGTGACATCTGGGAGCCAATCACAAGACAAGACATGGGGTGATACAACGGTCTTCACAGGGGACAGCCTGGAGCCTAACACAGAAGTTCTTGTATTCCTGCTTCACACAGAAGGCAGGTTTGAGATCCAAACTCACAAACACACAGGCACACAGGCACACAGGCACACAGGCACACAGGCACACAGGCACGCACACACACACACACTCAAGTTAGTCCCCTCTTCTGAATGAGACATGACATGGCAAGAAGATGGCATCGTGCTACTGGACTCTAGACTCTGCCACACCAACCAACCAATGCCAAGACCAGGGCCCATGACATCATTGCCTTTCCAGGGTCCTCAGAGCACTGCTTTAAGGCCCTGCCAATCATATTGCTTGAGCTAGAGCTGCACATTTTGGGGTACCATGAATTAAGAACACTCTGTCCTCACTGCAAAGTCATGGCTAGTCTTTGTGATTTCCCATCATAAAATGACTCCAGGCAAAGCAAGTTTTGGGTGTTTTTTTAAATTTTTTTAATCCACTCTCAAAAGTATTAGGAGTAATCATTTTGACAAAAATCTACCCATATGCCAAATTATTTTCCACTTAAGAAAAATGTTTAAATTATTATTCTCTAATTAGCAAAGATGTATCATGATTATCCACAAATCTGTTAGTGTTCAACAAGTTCCACCTTACTCTCACCTTAAAGATAAAGCAGCCATGTTAGCTGACCCACATAACCAACCACTTAGCTGTCAGCCCTGTGCCCAGTGAAATAGCTGAAAATTATTGATTTATCCACCTTTATGGGCTTTCCAAGCTTCCCACCATCAAAGGACTCTCTTTGGAATCACCTTCTATCCACAGGACAAGGACTCCTAAAGGCTGGAACAACCGGAAGGCAGTGGGGAGGGAGGGAAAGCAAGGGAGGCAGAAGAGGGAGGGGAGAAGGGAGAGAGGGAGGGATGGAATGGAGAGATGGAAGGAAGGAGGGATGATGAGGGGGGAAGGAGCAGAGCTGAGCTTCACCTTAACTCTGGCAGCTTTAAAATAATAAAGGGACCAGAAGCTCCATTCAGGACTTGAATACAGCGCATGTAGAAGAGAAATTCAAATAGTTCTGTTGAAGGGTGAAGCCCGATAAGCTTACGTCCAAGAGCACACTTAGAGATGAAAACGAGTTAGTACGGTGAATGCTGGCAGATCTCATTTTTCAAGGGGCTAGAAATGGGTACCACCTTAAAAACTATGAGCATGTGTTAACTGCATGTATTCCTGGGTCTTCTCAGTTCTGGCACAGTCAACTCTTTAACCAGCCCTGAGTCCCTGCTCCCTGCAGGAGCAGCTTCTCTAACCAAGGATGCAAGCTCCAAACTGTGAGTCTAAGTATCATTTGCAGAAGGCTGCGTGCTGGGTACCTCACATCCGTCTAGCAAAACAGCAGAGCAGCAGCAGCAACAACAACAGCAGCAATAGCAACATCAGCAGCAGTAACAATACCAGCACAACCGCCAGCAGCAGCAGCAGCAACTGCTCCTCACTGATCCCTACCACCCAACGGGGGTGGGGGGGTAAGATTGCTGCTAACCTAACTAACTCCTCCAGCATCCTGCACTGCACTGGACCTGTGTGGCCCAGCGAGCAGGAAACAGGCTTCTAGCTCAGTCCCAACTTGATTTAGTCTGTCTTAGGTGTCCTACCACTTAGGGAAGGTGGGAAGCTAGCAACAGTAGCAAAGGCAACAGTAGCAAAGGGCTCCATTGTTTGAGGGCCTGGGGTTCCTCCCTGGCCAAGTGTTCTCAGGGAGGGAGCTCATCTCTGAGGTGCTACTGTATTTAAACTCAGTGTAAGTCTACTATCCTCAAGACTACCATCAGCTCTGTAAGCTATCAGCGAGTCAGTTATCAAACTCTCTCTAGAAAGAGGAGTAAAGAATGATGGGAGAAGAGGAGGAAGAGGTGGTTGCAAGAAAAAAAAAAGACCACAATGTATTCAGCAGGTTAAGAAAAAAAAAAAAAGAAAAGAATAGACAGTAACTTTTTACACTGCAGGGAGACAGTGTGAGACCAGGTTCCTGGCACCTGTCCTTCTCACCATCCAAGACAGAACAACAAGGGAGAGACTTGGTTTTAACTAAGTGATTAGATAAAGAATGTGCTGTTAGCAACAACAGAAAGAATGTTCTAGGCTAGCAAGCTTCCAAAGGAAGCTTTGCATTTTCTACTTTGTTTTAGGTTGTAGTTGCTCACCCTGAAGATATACAATGTGCGGATTTTGAGACTTAAAAATATACTTAGTTGTCAAAGTTCTGAACTCACAGATCTTCCACATTCCTGTGCTACCAGGCAGTCACCTATAGAGGGTGATGTAAAGACTATGGCGAGATATCAAAGAGTCCAGTAAGCAGGGTCCATGGAAAGCCATCCCATAGAGGATGCTTGCTGAGAAGGCTACAGGAGGTTCCAGTATTTGCTACAATTTGGAAACTCCTTGGGGATAACTATGAAAGAGTAATTCTTTATGATGGAGATTATATTGGATTTACTAACTAGTTTGTGATTTTATGTGCTTCTGAGACAGAAATGGTCCTGATAAAAAAAAAAAACAAACCACTATTAAAATCTTGGAAACGTGATATGAGAAAGCCAAGGGCTCTGGACAGAGGCCCCAAGGCCATTTCTATGCTGACTTCTCTATGTGAGCCACCTCCTGGCTTTTTTTCTTATTTTTTCTTGCATTTATTTATTTATTTATCTTACATGGGACTGTTGAGGAATAGACCATGGTTGTACATGGAGGGCACTGGACAACCCATCTTTATGTGGGATTGGGACATGGAACTCAGGTCGACAGGCTTAGCAGCCAAAGTCTTTACCTGCTGAGCTACCTCGCTGGCTCCTTCTTTTTAACCCAACACATGTCACCTGTTCAAAAGCTCCCTTCGTTTCATCATACATGGAATGATCTGTTTGGGAACAGTACAATCTTCACACTTTTTAAAGTTGAATGAAAGTGTAGGGACCTGCTACTGCAAACAGAAAAGGTCACTTAAGGACTTCCACAATCAGCCTGACACTTGGCCACCATTGGGGAAGCTTCACTGAATTGTATACCCCATAGAAATGAACCAGGGGGAAAGCCTATAAATGTGCATTTCATCGTGACAGAGCAAAGCAAATCCTGCCTTAGTTCTTGGTGTTTAAAAATAGTAATTCCTTTTGTGAAACATTCTAAGCATTTTTCCTTGATGAGTCTGCTTTGCCTAGTAATAAATGATGGGTGGGAATAAGTACTAAAGAAATTAACAGAGGAAATGGAAGTTTTGTTTTTCAAGATCAGTTTAATTTTTGAGCTAAGGCTGTGACTGGGTTACTTGAACTATTAAGATAGTAAAATGCTGTCTTTATTTTTTCATAGATGAATACCACCAGATGATACTTTATACACTTGGATATATTTTTATTTAATTTCCTACAACATTGAGTATGGACCTCTTCAAGATTAATTCCTACACTAATTTTATATAAATCTAAACAACATTTATTAGCACAAGAATGCTTCCGAAGTTAGAAATCTAAACACAAGGAAAAGCCCAGCACCTTCCCCTCCTCCTTCCCCTTCTCCTTTCCCTCCTCCTTCCCCTCCTCCTTCACCTCCAGGGGGACTCGACTAACTGCCACCTGTACAGGATATGCTGGGAATGAACAGAGGTGAGCAGAAGAGCTAGTTCTTTAGTTAAGGAGATATCTCCAACCAGGCAATATTTGTGTGATAAAAGCAGAAAGAGATGGAGATGGATAATTTAAAATAGGTCAGATTGGTACCAATAAGCTGAATTCAAGGAAGGGACGAAACCATGAAAATTATATATATATTTATATATATTATGTCTTATACTATATTATATAGTATATATCATATATTATATGATATATATATATAGTAAAATAGTATAAATGTACAGGAAAATAGACTAATATGATTAATATAAAATTATAAATTAATGCAATTTATTAAAACATAATATCATTTAACTGAAGAAGGGAAACCCGACCTGCTGATATCAACCACTCTGTTTCAGTGGTAAACGCACACCGCAGACATTTTCTCAGACACATACTTCAAAGATCATGTCATTCATGACACTTCCTTTCCATGTTTGCTCTCAGGAGGCTCAATTTTAAAACAGTTTTAAATTGGGCATATAGAAGTTGTGTGAATGCTAAAGGATTAAAATACCCAGGTTTTTGTGTTATTCTTTTGTGCCACTAGATGGCAGTGCTAGGAAGCAAATTTATATGGAGGTGGTGGGACAGAAGGAGTCAAGTTCCGGAAATTTGTTAACAGGGAAGGCAAAGAAAGGTACTTTTCAATGCTGCTTAGAACGTACTCTACAGTTGAATGAAAAACATCACAATAGTAAGCTGCCAGTGA